CCCCCCACTTGTGTGTGCTTGTAGTCAAATTGTGCGTGCACACAAAAATTGTGAATGCTGCCATCTCCACTTCGTATGCGTAGCGTAGACAGACCGATAAATTTTAATTTCTTGTTATGCAACTAGTATTACTAAACAAGCGGAATTCCACTATTTACAAGGAGAGCCATGCTGGTCGTTAGGCCACTGTCGCTAATATATTTATATATAGATGAGCTATTCATAACGCAAACCACATACACTAAAATCTCTATCGAATTAAAGATTCTTCATTTGTTCAAAAATCGTACACCTACATCCTTTTATTGTCATAATAAATGAAATACGGAAACACTACCATCAAATTCAGGTCAGTACTAAAAGTCCCTATTCTAAAATTTAAAAATGAGTAACATCTTCAACTTTTATCCCTTTAGTAAGAGTACAGCAACGTATTGGATTAATTTAATTATTCTAAAGTGGTACAACAAAATCTAATCAGAAAATATGAAAAATATGACGAAATAATGGGCAACTTGAAAGAATAGCAGCCTAAAGATGCACTTTCTTATACAATATGATCAGTCTTAGAAATCCTTCCCAAAAGCCATTTCCAATCCTTTGAATAGACACAAAGTCACTAGAATAATCGTCCAACAATTCGGTCTGAGGTTTAAGAGTTTGTTTTGCATGACAAATATCATTTTTGAAAAAAAGCATTGATTGCTATTGAGCTATTCTCAGTTTTATCAGGCTACATAGACATGAATGCTTCGCATTTCAATTTACATAAAGACAAGTGAATACAGCAAAAAGGCACTAATCTAAATCTTGAATTGCAACAAATCAACACGACAATAGAATATGGATGAAGTTTGAAGATCTCCCATACTTTCAATAAAATTCAATGTTTAAAGCAGCCGCCATCGACTGTTTCCAAATTAAAAAGATAACTAATATTGGTGAAATTGGAGGCGAAGGTTATTAATTCACTATATCAACAGTGATTTCCCCATTAGACTCGTCCAGTCTGCCTACGGCAACCATTAAAAAGTAATTACCGCGAAACGCTTCTGCAGACACTAGTCAACCCCCATAACTCCACTCAATCTGTAGAGTCAAAGCGAAATTATATTGCGTATCAAATTGCCGATGAGACGGGTGATGCAGATAAACGCAAACTACGACTTAGTAACGTAACAAACTGAATGAATATTTGCTGTTTATTTGACCAAGAAATCTGGTAGAAGAGGAAGAAACAAGCTCACTTGCAATCGATAAAGGGAGGAGATGCAGGTACTTATATCGATCGATTTCAAAGTGCATATTTAATATTAAGTTGTAAGAGCTATAGAAGAGAGTTGTTTACCAAGCAGAGAATAAATTTCACCAATAAAGCGTGCGCTCGAAAAAGCTTTAACATGCGAGTTAGAAAAGCAAAGCTCATGCAGAACGCCTAAAGAATACAACTGAAGAACCGAATTCAGTCTTACTTTTTCCGTTCCATTTCCATTCTTATTTCGTTAAATGTCTTTCGGATTTCTTGTCCGTCTTCCTCCGAATCATTCCACATGCTGAGCAGAAGAAGCATTTCAAGTACTCTTTGTTCAAGTAAGTAGCCTTATGGCTTTCAAATATGACTTAAATAGTTTGAATTTTATAATGAAATGTATAAGAGCAAAAAAGGCTATGAACGAAGTATAAACGTAATATTCATTTTACCAAATGCGAAAAATACAAAACAAAACGGAAAATATAACAGCTGTGCAGCATAAAAAATAAACCTGCCAAATCAAGTTATAAAGGAAATATATGGAAAACAAAGTAAATACGAAACTCATCCTGTTTGACAGAATTTCAATCAAGAAATAGTAAAAAAAAACAAATTGAGTAATTGCTGAATTCCTAAATGAAAATTTCACAGAACTAAAAAATAATTAGCCCCGATTTAAGACCTAATGGTGTTTCCACTTTTGCCTTTTAAAATAAAAATTAAAATCAAGCAAATTTTATTCCCAGATTTGTGCATACCTTACATGAAGGTAATTTATAATTAAATAGATATTTACCTTAGGTCTGGTTACTGCTTTCGTGTAGATTATTTCCAAAAGTAAATTTAAACTAATTACGTATTTTTTGCAGAAGCCGAAGCATCCAGTATATTAGCAGGAATTCCAACCACGAAGGTTATGAATTCAATGGTGCGCTTATTGGCTGCCTCCGGACGGCCCATTACATTCCAGCTAATCTGATTGGATATTATGTGATAGTTATGTTGTCACTGACCAATCAAAATTTAGGGTCAATTTAATTAGTCGATTGCAAGTCACATGAGGTACGATAGATAAAATTAATAGGGTACAAATTTATGAATATATTTGACACAAAATCAACGTGAAAAATCGAAGTTATTAACTGACCCCTTTTCTCCAGGCACTAGGCTGTGTCGAGATAGCCGTCCACTACTAGAATAACCTTGCCACGATGGTGAATTAAAATTTTCCAAATAGCTACTCAGTGAACGTGTGCTTCTTGCCATTAACTTAACCCCAAATTAAAACTCTCATCAAGAGCATAATAAGAGTTAGAGCGACTTAGACATGGCAGCCAATCAGATTACATACAAGCGTGATATTGTGTGCTTTGTGTATTTTATGTGAGTATGCGGATAGCGTGTTTGCTAAAACGTGTGAAAAATTTTCAAAATTTTCCCAAATATATATAACATATGTAAACATGATCTTCGCCTGCACTTCTTCAAAAGGATAGGTAGAATAGTTCCCCAAAGTAAACTAGTTTAGCCACGTCAGAATCCCAAAATTTATTAGGCCAAAATATAACGCATTATCATCTGAATCAATGGTTTTACTTATATAATTAAGTAGCAAGATAATAATCGAAAAATCATGGATTGATGCAAAATCATAAAAGGCAATCAGATGTAATCAGCTGCGAGAATTAGCACAAAGATTGTAGGATTGACTCACTACGCTTTCTTCTTTAAATTGAAATTTGCTTTCTTTTTCCTATGGGAAAGTCAGATAGTTTCGAATTAAAAAAATCGTTATCAAAAATGATGCTATATATAAACATATTTTCAATTTAAAAAATGCAAACTCATCTAATTTGCCTGTATCTACGACAAATTAATTCTACAAATACATTTTCCTCTTGTAACTTTTAAGAGGCATCGTGGTGTACACAGTGTGTGAATAATGAACACAAACCAAGTTTCTCACAGATCGCTGGTCCCATTACTAGTTGTAAGCGATTATTTTGCTGAAAGTGAAAAAACAATAACCATGCAAGCGATAATTGCGTTCCAAACAAAATGAATTCAAACAAATTTTATAAATGCCTCGATCACATTGATAAGCCGTAAACATATATTTCATTCATCGTATTTCATCGAAGTACTACTATATGAATTTCAAAAAAATATCATGTGCCTTGAGTATTGAAATTTATTCGACCTTCGTGAGCCATCTTAATTAATTTCCACGCAAAAAGTTCCCATAAAACTCAAAAGTTGCAATCACTTTCGAATTCTAAATGAGAGGAGTATAATACGGGGTTTCATGAGAAATTTGAATTAAGTTAGTTAATACTCCTATAATTTCATGAAAAATCCAGAGGCATCGATGTGAGCACCTACTTCTGAGATAATCTATTTGCTTCTTTGTACTGGAATTACCGTCTGCTACACCTCATTATGGGCCAATAAATCAGCTGATTTTATGAAATTTGAGCATCTGAAAATCTCTTTTGCTAATTTCATTTCACTTGTCCTGTAAATTGGCTAATTTGTACATCCTACGTTTTTTAACTATAGTCTTCAGAACAGAAAAAAACAATAAATTTGTGACTAGTTAGAAGTTAATATAATTGCATTAGGTAAAAAGTTTCAGCCTTCGGACAATCTGTTGACCAATGAAAAAGCACCCTTAAGAGCATGCCACCACTGATTAAAATCATATTCTGTATATTTTTTAACAAACATCCCACATTTCATTAGTGTAGATGAAGGAAAAATATTTATGATGGGAAATCAATTATACAAAAATGCAATAACATGTAGCAATAGGCAAATTGGGACTGATCATATCTACCAATGCAGATGACATTTGCAATACGCTCTTCCGTAAATCAATGATTGGTTTACTTGAAGTTACATCCCCTTTGTAAGCATGATAAAAGTGATCCAGGTGAATGCTGAAATAAACCCCTTCATTTAAAACTTGAACAAGCTTCCAAATTAAACAACTTTCCAATGACTACATTTCTCTACATCATTTCTTCGTTAACATCTGTTATTTAGTCACCTTTAACCAACATAATGTGCAGGGCTCATAGAATTTATTGATTTTATACTTTATGCAACATTTGAGTTGGGAGGTTTACTCACCTCTGAAGCACTCATCCAGCTTAGCAGTGGCAAGGCCCTTTGTTCTAGTCAAATAAAATATTTGTTCCTAAATTTGTTTATTTTCATCTTGCGGTAGTATGGGTCTCCACAATAAATACCACTATGCCGATTCTGCAAGCAATGTGTCGATACGTTATAAAATGAACATTTGGAAGAAATAACCTTTAAGTGAAATGCAATGGATATCAAGCGAAAATCTCTGCTGTAAACACATCTGTCATTATTTTCCAACACCACTTTGCAGTTCCTTCTTAGTCTCCGGAGACTCGGTTGTCAGAAAAGATTGTTTTTTGCTTATTCTAGTTGTTTATCACTTCATTTGAAAATAAAAAATAATTTTCAATATTTAAGCAATCAGCATTAATTTCCCTCCCCTCCCCCCTCCCAATTAGCCTGGAATTTTAGTTATGCACCATCAAACTAACCTCACTCGATTATTAATGCATTAATTCATTCCATTCAAAATAGCAATCTTAGTCCATTTATGGAAAAGGTTGTTGTATTTATGGAAATTGGAACAAAATAATCATTAAGATTGCCCTAGAATTTCATTTTTCTACAACTCCTAATTATTACCTCAATGTTGGATACCCAGAGAAGGAGAGTGAGGATAATTTAATAACAATTAATACTAACCCTCTGACGTTTATTTGACTTCCAACGATCCTTTTGGTCAGTTCAAAGTTTCTTTGCCCTCGTAATAGTTATTTCAGGAGCAAGAAGCCCTCCACCCACTTGCTTTCTTTAAATTTCGCTCAATGCTTCAAGACCTTGATACTGATGTTAACTATTCATCATTTAGCTTCTACTGGTCAGTACGTATACTACGCTATTTTCTCCACTTTTGACCTTTGAGTACTATCTTAAATGGCTTAGAACAGTCTGCTTGACCTCTCATACACCCTACTTAGCCCTTCAAAAGTTTAAAAATTTCAGCTAAAATTCATTTACAAAGGAAACATTGTTTTATTTTGTTATCAATGAAGTATATGCCTATTTGTGGGATGTGGTTACATATTAGGTCAACAAAAAGAGAATTCTGGAAAGAAATTGTTCATAATCTTCTTTAATTGAGGCTATTTTCCATCTTACTAGTAATATGCATAATTACTCATTTTGTTCTAGTCATTATAACGAATGATAAGTATCCAAATAGCCAAAACGATTAGTTTCAAGCCAATCAATAACTTAGACCTTTAATTTGAGTGGCGTCATGCGCCAGTTCCTTACTAAATCAATTACTTATTGATTTGACAAATCAAGAGAATGTATTTAAAAAGGAATACACTATTAATACTTACTTTTTCTTTTCCAGGTCCCGTTTGATCTCCTCGAAGGTGGGTTTCGCCTCCTCGAAAACAGGCTCTGCAGCCTTCATCACCGGTTGTTGAGGCGGCAATTGATTTTCACTGATGACAACACCGAATGTATCAGCGACATATCTATTTTCCTCGAGATTATGCTCCCTTGAAGACAGAGAGGCCTCTTGTTCAAAGTCTGCTATCGTTACTTCACCTGCATCATCACCTTCCGTATAGTGTAAAGGAGTGGTTTCGTGCTTTTCCGCTGCAAGTTGGTCTACCCTTCCAACCAAACTCAAGTGGGCATTATCTAGCAATCCTATGTCTTCTGGTGTTTCCATGTGGCCGACTGGACTCTCTAAAACTGGATCTGCTTGACTGAATTCTTCGCTTGCGTGAAGGAGCTCAGGAAGAGGAAGCGGATTTGGTGGTTGTTCTACCGGCGGGTCGTGAATAAAATCCTCAGTCTCTGGTACGAAACTTTCTTGATGAGCTTGATTTTCAAAAGATCCCTGACGTTCAGGTTCTTCTTGTTCTTGTTCTAGCTTTGACTCCTGGTTTTCAAATGTGTATTCTTCGAGAGGGAAGGTTTCTGGTAGTTTTTCAAAGTGATCCTCGTGTCCGAATTCTTCTTCGGCGATTTCCTGTCTTCCTTGTCCACAATATCCAACACCTTCGGTATATGGTTCCTGGCTCTCCGGTTTGAACTTATCAAATCCTTCTTCGTTAACCCCTTTGGATGTTTCCAATTCAAGATGGTCTGGAGTTTGCTCCAGATCTGAATGCTCCAATACCGGAATTTCTCCTTGACAGTGTTTAGGAGTAGATTCTAATGTGCCCCCTTCTTCGTTATGTATTTCTTTGTCTTGAGAGACCTTTTCTTCGTTAGTAGATCCAGGGGTGAACTCGGATGTAGGCACTTCTTCTTGATGTGGGATCTCTGGGAGGTCGTGTTCTTGGAACTCCTCTTCCTCTCCGTGAACAGAGGTGTAGGACTTTTCCGGGGGAGGGGCAGGTGGTAGATAGTCTTCTTCTATAGAAGGAGTAGGTGAATCCGATTGCTCACTGAAAATACTCTGTGGAATTAAATCGCTGGACTTGATAACACCACCGTTCAATCCCTCTGCGTGGTTTCCGTCTGAGTATACTGCGTCCTCTGCTTTGCTCAGATGTTCTTCGAGTTCTTTTTGAAGGTACAGTAAGTCGTCCTTGGGCACGACCGGTGGATCAACGAAGTCCTGTGAAAAATCCAGGATTGAATGAGTCTAGAAACAGTAAAGTGACATCATGACTTAATGTGGCAGACTAGCGACCATGATACTAGCAATCTTAGGGTACACAATTCATTTGTCATATTTCTCCATGAAGTAAGCAACCCTAAAAAGGTTTCCGACACGTCACAGAAAAATTTTTATAGAGTAAAGGATTGCTTAAGAATGCACTGTTTGATCGCCCGAATAAGTTTACTTCACTTGCAGCTCAACTTTCACCTCAGTTTATAAATGTGGCTGCTAGCAGTATCTCACTTTTTTAATCCTATTTCGTTTAAATTTCTAATTTAGATTGACGACGAAATCGTATTTTATGCGAACGCTAACCCAATTCGACTTAACGTTGAGGAGGTTTGAACGTACAAAAGTTAGTAGAAAGTTACCCAAATAGTGAATACAGTTCAAATAAATATTCTCGAATGCTTAAATGATAGAATCGCATTGAAATTCCTAGGTTTATCTGGAAAAGGACTAACGACAACTGACCGAGTGGATGGAAGATACTTGAAAGTCCCTCTTGTTGGTGAATTTTCATTCTTTCACTCTTCCTTTGAACTAGAACTGTGGAATAAATTTAGCCAACCGTATCACCTAATGTGCAAAGAGGATTTCCACGAGGTGTTCAATGAGTGATATTGGGCTTACACAAAATAAATAAATAACCGTCAAACTCATGTTCTCCAGTCAATGAAGCGCATATTTAATTACCTATGGCGAGACGATGTGTCATACGAGTTGGAATCACGGAGAAAGCGTTTCTTATCTTACTGTCACATACATCGTGAAAATCTAATAGAAATTACTTCACGGGTTTTCTTCTATTCAAAGATATATATATATATATATATATATATATATATATATACATATTTTTAAGGTGGAGAGTTTACCAGTTGAAAGATCATTTTATGCTCTTAGTGACGTTTGTCTGGTGTAAACAGAAGTATTGCTCTCCTCTTGCATATGAACCAGACAATTCTTTTTGCATGTAAACAGGAGGGCAGACCAGAGTATCTTGAAAAATTGATTTAGTGAACATTTATTTGAGTGGTTAACATTTGTGTTTATACGATTTTTTGTCTGTGTCGTTTTTAACAATTTTTTGATCCAAAATTTAAGATTAAGTGGAATTGCAAGAATGATTAAAAACAGAATGAATAAAAATAAAACCGAATAATTTGAAAGATCATCTATTTACACGCTGAGAAATTAGTATAGATCATTAAATAAAGTATCTGTCTCATACACACTTGCAGCATTCATACAACGTTCGCGACTAAGTACTTTCTGTAACGAAGTCCTAAAAGGTTTGGGTTCCTGTGGGTAGATGTTTAGATGAATTTTAGAGTTTTTATGTGCATTTAAGCAGGAAACTAAGCCATTTATAAGGCGGTTAATCTTATTGTAGGTAACCAGTCAGAAGTTTTCAAATTTGTCGGGTTTTATGACTTCCAGCTATCTAAACAGGATGGGCGAAGTTGCCGAGACAACTGCAAAGCATTAGTCCTTCATTGTGAGTCATCAACAGTTGAAGTCTCTGTACCAGCTTTGGGAGAATAGCCACCACTACCCCCATAACTACTGCACGTTCCTCTTTTTACTGGTTCATCTCCAGTGGCGTAAGTCTTGGTATTGATTATTGGAGATCCGTGGGGATTCAATCAGTGCCTTTGACAGATCCTTACCCAAGTATTTCTCCAGGTAAAAAAATGTCCACGATGAATCAAAACACAAGCTTTAAGTATGGGCTGTACGGCAAAGCCTCGATAGTAGGTATAAGGAAGTGAACCAAGACATCAAAAGGTCTCACTGTACCCGAATTCAACATCCACCACACTGTTTACCTTTTTGTTAATGGGTACAGTTTGCCGCCTCCTGGCTTTGCGTTCCAATGCCTAAATGTCGACTACTAGATTTCTGGACATTAATCTATGTCATGAATCTTAAGGCTGAGCGACCATAAGATCGATTTTTAATGTCGTTTGCAAAGTTCCAACACTTCATGTATAGCCAAGTAGGTTAATGATACAAGACAAATACAAGACAATATTTTGTCCCCCAATTGCCTTATCATCTTGAACCTATTGCTATTTGAAAAGCGTTGCAGAGGTCAATTTCATGGCCATGTAAGCATGCTTTCGCATATATTAAGGTATGTGTTCTTTGTAAAGTAATATGAATATTGGTCTTACCAATCTTTGACACGCAGACATTAATCATTTGAAAGAGCCGCTAAATAGTCCAAAGACATGAATTTTAGCGCAAATGGGTCAGTTTCGGCAAGCACCCGTAAAAATACCACAAAAGGGAGTTGCAATGGAAAAAAAAACAAATAATGTTTTAAAATGAAAAAAATAACGAGTCAAATCGATATTAAAGTACTAGATGACTCATGCATGTTGGAAATTTACTTTCTATTGAAATGAAAAATCCAAATCCATTGACCGGTCTCTTCAATTTTTCAGCTACCATTCTAAATGGCTTATGTCTCCACAAACCTATTTCGAGGAACGAATAATGGAAGAGATTTTCTACCTTAAAAAGCCAACCGTTGAAGATATTATTTATCTCCCACATTAGTGTCACTAGGCTGAAAATGTACTTGAATGTACACTATCGCAGAGTCTTCGTTATTCACATCGTTTTCCTCACTATAGTGACAGTGGCATTTCAGGGGCAACTTATACACTTATCTTCTCTTAAGATAAAAGTTATATGCTTATAAATATGGCGAAAGTTTGAGAGTCATAATGTAAACAAACGAAGTATTCGCCACTTTATTTCAAGGCCAAGTGTTTGTTTATATCCTATAAGAACGCTGAATGCAGAATTGAATTATTTATGTTTAATTAAAGAATATCAAGGTCAGCCATCTGTTAATAAGGCATGTTATTTTTAAGAACCATTAAAATCTCCAAAATTTAAGATCCGGTTTAGTGCATAAGAACGAAAGAAAAGAATAAAAACCAGAAAATATCCGCTTCAATATTTCCGATTACTTCATTTAATTTCAATTTTATCATTAAATGATTAATAATTTGATGATGCTTTAATAATATACTCGAAATTGCCTTCTAAGTAAACACGTTCTTCCATCAGTATGAAAGTTGACGCATACTAACAACAGGCCCTACGTCACATGAACTATGTTCTGAGGGGAAGGAGCCAAAATCGATATTTAATCACTCTATCCTAATATCAGGTTTAATAGATACCAATGAAAGACGGTGAAGACTTATTCAAAATCCTATTGACTATAAATGAAATTGGTTTGACTAGCTGTGGCAGGAAATGACCAATTGTCGTAATTTTCGCCTAACCACATTCCAGAGGGGTGTGCCTTGTTTACTAAATGTAGCCTCCGCTACAGGATCTTTCAGCCATGCTGGGTTCTCGTCGGTGTCATTAGTGGGAAGAAGTAGTAGCCGTAGTATTCCATCAGCACCAGAAAGGTCATATTATAATTGCCAGCCTGTGGAGAAAATGCTGCGGTGGACAGTGGGATGGGCAAATATTTCTCCTGGGCTTATAATGTTGCCATGGCTGCTGGAAGCTGTTAGTGTTGCCTGATTTATGGCAAATAAAGCGTCCACTTTGTCTTTTATTTCCACCTTTCAGGGAGGGTGGGCGGGTGAGCGGTTGGATGGATTTTACGCGATCATATTCGCGCTTATTTCATTGCCCTTTTTCACCGAGAAGAAACGCTTCTATTTGCACAATTGCAAACAAAACTTTGTTCATAAAATACTAAAAGTGCACGCCAAAAGTCCCTTATTTTAAGAAGAGAGAAAATTCTTCAGGAAAATAAGCGGACCATTCACTAGCTCTAGACGACAGCATAGTTTAAGTTATAAGCGTTTTAGACGCACAACTTCACAAGTACTATTTATCGAGATTGCAAGAGCCTCTCATTTAAATATTAAATGCAAATATCTGGGATAATTTCACAATTTAGAGGGACTTCATACTTAGATACACTAGAGTGACGGGATTTCAAAAAATACCTGTTAAAGATGTAATTATTTGGTTGAAATAAAGATTATGACACAACTTTCAAGTAACTAGGACTTTCACGATCTAAGCAATAAAAGAAAATACAAAATTGATAATTGATTAAAAGATATTTTCTATCCTAAATAATAATATTCAGCCAGATATATTTTGAATTAAGATAACCCATTTAACATGTGCGTTCATTGAAATAATCTAGTGGAATGGAGAGTAATGGGTGAAGGTTTGAATTTTGGGCCTCTCGAATGACTAATATTTCACCTTATCTATTTGGTTTTATTTCGAAAGCATAATTTTGACATTTTGAAAGGGAGAAATTGGAAACTCCCGATGGCTGGCAAGGGAACCTTTTCCTTTTCTCCACAGGCAAAGTTTATGAGAAAAAATAATATGGCCTGTTCCAAAATTCTGCAATCGAACACCTGCTGTGTTGACATTAGTGTCCCACAACGATGTGGGAACTTCAAGTCTGACTCATGGACTTATTCATGCTCCCCTCCCCCTCCCTTCATATTTGGCTGTCCTTGTATGACTCACATTTAACTACAGATGGAATAAATTAGTCGTTAATTAATTAATTCCCAACACATTCGTCTATTCCCATCCTAATTTTCCAAAATGTGCACACTTCGAAATAGCATATTAAGGGAAAGATATTAAGTACCTTTTCATCGAAATTTTGATTGAAATAGAGTTTGAAAAATAAGAAAATGAATATTCTTTTTAGTCACAATCATATTAAAGAAATTTTGATCAAGAATCAGTTTCCAAATTTGAAGACAAATTGGCGTGAACGTTTTGCCCTCAATTTTTTGTCTTACTAGGCAGACATAATCGTTTAATACCGCTGAAACTAATTATGAATTTCATCTTCCTTTGTCTATACTGACTAAACTTAGCATAAGGAACCAAATTAGACTAAAAGCTGATGACTGATCTTAAAAGTATTGGGGAGAATGGCTACAGCCTAAGTATGACTTGTG